CCCTCATCCTCACCATATCCTTCTTCCTCCAACTTTTTGACATCCGAACATTTACCTGCATATCCAGTTGGCGGAAAATCCAACGATTGCGGCATACTTCCTTCATTTTGTGACGACGTTTTGTCCATACAATTACAACCACCATCATCACTCTCACTCGTACATATTTTTTGTAACTGTTCTTTTAAATATTCGTAAGCTGTGTCTGCACTTTTTGCAATATCGTGATTTTTGTAGTTCTTGTTGACAACTTTATCCTCAATATATTTTTTTCTTTGTTTTTCATATTGGGGTATCCACTGTTGAATAAATTTGTAATATTTTTCGCACTGAAGAGTACATTTTTCTTTTTCTTCTTCACAATCTTTACGATTTTCACACTCACTGTTTTGGTATTCACAACCACTATTATCACAACCATCACTCGTTTCGTCTTCATCTGTTTGACACTTGTAACATTTGCAGGCCGCTTCCAATTTGTCTTTTTGTTTTTTTTGTTGCCTGCAAAAATCTTCCGACCATTCGGCAAACCACCGCAAAAACTGGTATGCCGTGCCGTCAGAGCGATCATTGGCCATAGGGAAATAGTCATTGCGTGTCGCATCATTTTTACATCCACTAGGTATATGCTCGTCACCACTTTCCTCGCCACGCGCGATGGGTACGTCACTACATCCTTGTTTGTACCCGCACAACATAGCGTTCCATACGCATTGCTTGTTAGTATCCCACCAACCTTTGCGTTGTGGACTACCTGGATCGCCGGCACTACCACTAGCTTGTCTGTTACCACTATTAAATATACTTTCCAAATTCCTTTCAATACCATTATTTTCCAACTGATCGTACCCCAGAATTATATCTCGCAAATCATAAAAACTATACTTCAAAGCATTACAAGGGGACACTTCGTAGGTTTCATCACTCGTGTGAGATTCGTCACCATGTGGAGGTTTCTCCTCCTGTTCCTCCTTTTCATTCCGTTTTTTCTTTTCCTGGACATTATCTGTGTCCTTTTCTTTGTAGTATTTACCCAATTTGTACCCTTGATGTACAGATATTTTCAGCATACTATCCAACAAATTGTCGCTAGTGACATTTTTTAGTGCTTGCGTGCATATGCATTGTCGTCTCGTGGGCAAATATACACGATGGTCGGCGCGGCTATTCACTCCCTTTGCAGTTTTCCATCCTTTTTTTATCTCACACTTTTGGTTTTCTCCACCACTATCACCTTCTCTAGCTTTACACAAATCTCCTATAACTTCATCGTAACCCTCACCCTTGTAACAGTGTTCCTCAAAACTACATTTCCCACCCTTTGGGCCGTCTCCGCTCCACATTTTGTCTAGCATATATATATACGCGTATGTGTGCATATGCGTTTGTATATATATATATATGTTTGTGTATATATTATTTTTTGAGTATATATATTGTTTGTGTATCTACTTAAATAAAATTAAACAATAATTGTGTTAAATTTATAATTTTCCCATATATTCACATACGTATACTTATATTGTGTGTCATACACACACATATATTTATCTCCAGCATTTGAAATATATCAAGTACTTGTGGTTTTTGTACTTGCCTGTGGTACAAGGATATATTTTTTTGGCTGTTGCCATTTTGATATATACATATATAAATATATATTTGTATATTATTTTACTTTTAGTATGTTATTGGTATATATATATATATATATGTGTGTATTGTTTGAATTCTTTGTATTTTTTTGTATTTTCGTATGTTAATTTCTATGTATGCTTTTTCGTATCTTTTTGTATTTTTCTTTATTTATGTAGGAATCTATTATTTTAATATTTATGTTTTTTCTTTTCTTTTTTTTAAATTTCTTTTATACGTATTTCTTTTATTTTTTTTTATTTCTATTAATTTATATTTGTATTTATATATATATATTCTTTTTTTTTTTTTTTTTTTTTGTTGTTTGTTTCTTTGTTCCTTAGAACTTCCTTCAATATATTATGTAAAAATTATTGAAACTAGCAATATCATATATGATAAATATATACTTTTCGTAAATTTTAACTTCATGTCATATACAAAGAACAATAATCCTTTACAAAAATCAAAAAAGTAAAAAGAAAAACACTTGAATATCCTATATGCTTTCTATATAAATTCTTATAGAATTTAAATAATTCGAATAATTAAAGGCACTCAATATTTTTAAACATACATAACTATTCATTATTCTAGCTTATAATGCCTTGTTTCTTAAAAATATCCCTTTGTATATAGTAAATAAAATTTTCAATTAAAAGAATATATTTAGTATATATTTCATATTTTTTTTTAATTAATATTATTTGAATTATCTATATATCCATATACATATATTTATAAATAAATACGTATATAATATGAATTTAGTATTAACATATTTTTTTGGTATGAAGAACATTATGAATATAAGTTGTGATGATATTCATCAAATTATTAATTTTTATATTATAAAAGTTTATATTACTTTTCTTTATTAATCATTTCAACGTTATAATTATATTATAATTTATATTATATATATATATATGTTTTTTAATTTATGTAATAATAAATAATTTATATTTATAATAACATATTATTTTAATTACAAAAAAAAAAAAAAAATTTTATAGAAACATATATTGCATACATATATTTTTCTTTTGTAATATATAAATTTGATAGTATATATTCTATATACGTTTAATAAAAATATATTATATAAATATTATATATATATTATTTATAAAATAATAAGACGGACTTTACCGTTAGATATCCATTATCTCCTTTTTCTATAGACTGTTAAAAACAAATATTATTATATAGATTATATAATAAATATTTTTATATATATGTTCTAACATAAAATACAATATATTTTGGTATCATTACATTTTAGTAAGTATTTTTATATATATTAATGATATCCTTCCTTTTAAACAAAAAAAAAAAAAAAGAAAATAAGAATATAAAAGGATCATATTATAAAAAATATGTGCATGTAATATGGTTAAATATAAATATATTTACATTCATCTAATTTTATTTAGAACAAAACTAACTAAAAATTAAAATATTATTCCAATTTTCTTTCTTTCTTTTTTTTTTTTTTAGTTTTTTTAGTTTATTTTCATCATAAGGTAATTTTTTAAAAAATAATATATTTTAAATGAAAATAATGATTAAAAAAAAAATATATATATACATAAGTGTTAACACAAATGGTTTATTTATTTATAAATATTACAACAAATAAATATATGTATAACCTATGTTAATTAAAATAAAATTCAATTAAATATAATATTATAGTATTCTACAAATGAAAAATATATATTCATATTTAAGTATCTTCCTTTATTGTATTCATTTACAAAGAGTGATAATATATGTCAACTATTTATTATATATAATTGAAATCCAACATGTATAAATTTGTTTTCTTAATAACAAAAATTTGTATTAAATACAGTACAAACTATATAATTAACATTATGTTAATATCATTTTTTTATTCTTAAATGGGATGTCTTTTGTTTAATATATTAAAATATTACTTATTTTTTAATTTTTTTTTTTTTTCTGAATATTTATTATCGAAATGTATATTAATCATATAATATATATATATATATATATATAATGTAAAATATATGTAAATAAAAATTTTAACACCTAGAATGAATTCATTTTTGGTATTTTAATTATAGAAAATTATTCTTTCGTTTATAAGAATATTATAAAAATATAATCATATTATCTTATAATATATATATATTCTTCATCTGTAGATCATAAATTGATTACAATCCTTCTCTTATACATATATTATTAACCCTGTCAAAACTAAAAATGAAAGAAAAAAAAGAAAAAAGAAAAAGCAAACTCGAACATATAGTCATATGTAATTTAAAATATTAAATAATAATGTAATTTAAAACTATATAGATTATTGCATCATAGTATGTTTTATTTACAAATATCCTTTTGTTATACAAAAATATAATAAAATAAAATTTTTTTATGTTCAAAATTTATTATTATTTTTCTTATTTCTATATAATAATGGATTTTATTAAATTATACAAATATATATAATATATATAATATATATATGTAATTATATAAGGTAAAAAGAAAAATATTAAAAAATTCGTTCATACGTAGAAATATGATTATTACATCTATTTAACACTCTTATTCAAATGTATAAAATAATATATTGATATCATATATTATGTCAAAAATTTAATTCGTTTTAATCAAAAGAAATAAATAAAACAGTGATGTATTATTAATAATTTTAATATTTAAATTATAAGTATGAAACATACATAATCATGAGAATAACAAATAACCTTTATGTGTGTTACTTCTTAAATGGATTTTTTTATTATATATATATATATATATATTGGGGAAAAATAATAGATGAGATTATCACAAAATATAATAGAAATAATTCAAATGTGATTTACTCATTTATAGAACTTATAGTAAACATTTAATTTTTATAAATATATTAAGTTTTATAAAATATAACTATATTAAATTATATTATCTATTTAATTTATAAATTTATTTTGTAAAATATGTATATAAAAATTTTTTTTTTGTTATTATTCTCTTTATATATAAATGAATATAAATAATATATAATGTGATTACAATATATTGTATTAAGTGCATTATTCCTATTATATAATTATTTTTTTTTATTATTTTGTTAAATATTTATATATATACCATATGGATAATTTTCATATGTAGAGACAAAAGATATCTATTAGACTAATGTTAGTTCTACATTATATCTACCTTAATAAAAATTATATAAATATAGATATAATTATAAATGTTTATTATATATATGGAGAAAATGAAATTAACTATTTTTTAATTAAATTTTTAATAAGGTTTACCATACTTTATATATTGATATGTAAATAATATATATATATATATGTTATCTTTGTCATAACATGATTTAATTTAATAATTTATTTTGTATACAAATGGTATTTTTTTTTTCTTTTTCTTATAAAGACAAAATAATTATATAAAAAGAAAATTATAGCTTATTATACAAAATATCTTACGAAGATATTATTGAACTAAATAAAAATAAGGAAAGGAAAAGAAAAGAAAAAAGTTAGCTTATTGCGATTATGGAAGGAAAAAAAATTGCTTAGCATATAATGAGATGTGCTTGAAATATATATACATGAATATGATTTAGAAAAGTACGAATTTGTTTAAGAGAATTGTATCACGGATTTATACATTTCACTTGATAATACATAAGCCATGCATAAATTTCAAATATATATTTAATATTCATGACACTTGAAATATTTCGTAATTATAATTCATATAATTATTATATATATATATATATATATATATATATATATATTTTAATTAATAAATCATAAGATGAATCTCTTATTTATTTTAATGCAATACATATTTCATTCGAACACCCAAAGAAATAAAAAAAAATAAAATAAGATATAATAAATAATTAAATATAAAAATATTTATTCCAATATTGGAAAAGAACAATATTTTAGAACAATTCATAGACAGAAATAATGAACAGGAAGTAACATAATGATTGGTAATATTATAGTTTTAAAGGTATCTTAAAAAAAAAAAAAAAAAGAAAAACATTTTTTTTAAAATACGTTCAACATTCATAAGGACAAAAGAAAATATAATACATAAAATAGAGAAACAAACCAGAAGAACTTATAAAAATTATAACAATGATCTTTATAGAACTTACTGATTAAGGATTTATGAAAAAGCATTATTTAAATGAATACAGGATTATTTTGTTAAGGAGAAAATCATAATATCGTACGAAAATCTGACATATATCTACCGAACATATTATAAAAGAAAAGAAAAATATTCAATCGATTTAATGAAAATATAAAATTATAATTATAAGCGAAGAAGATGATCAGAAGAAATATTATATATATGAAAAGAAAAAAAAAGAGAAGAAGAAAAATATAATATAATATAATATAATTATAATGAATTATAGGAAGAAACACAAAAAATTGTTTAATAAAGTAATTATTAAAAAAAACATATAATTATATATTTATAAAAAAAATAAATATATAAATGAATAATAAAAAATATATTATATTAAAAATAATATTTTTTTTTTGAAAAAAATAATAAATAAATAAAATAAAATAAAATAAATGAAAAACAATATAAATTATGTATCGAATAAAATTTTAATGAATAAAATAATTGGAAATATAGAAAAATTTATATATTAATAAAAGTGCACTAACTATAATTTTTTTATATAAATAAAAATAAAAGAAAAAGAATTAAAAATTATTTGTAAGGATATATATATATATATATATATATATATATATATAGTATAAACTATAAAAAAAAAAAAACAACAAAATATTTTTATATATTTTTATTTTTTATGTATTAGAAAAAATAAAAAAAAAATTGTGCAGTACACTATATTAAATATAACGAAAAAACAGACAAAGAAGAAATACTAAATAAAGAAAAAACAAAAACAACTGGTAAAAATAAACTTAAATAAATATTTTAAAAATAAAGTGCATCATGTTTTATTAAAAAAATAAATTTTGTGCATTAAAATGAAAAAAAAAATTTTAATTAAAATATTTTAAATGAAAAGAAAAAAAAAAAAAAAAGAAGAAATATTATATTTTATATAATATTAATATCCTTCATGAAATTAATTATTTCATATATTAATTTATTAATTTATTTTATTATATTTTTTTTCAGTGAATAAAAATATATAAAAATACTTATAAATATATTTATTAAAATAATATATTAAAAATTAAAATTTCCATTAATAATTTATTTTTATGTCGAAAAAATAGATATGTACGTATAGCAATTTAATTTAATATTTATGTATTCTTAATGTTTATATATTTTTGAGAAAATTAAACAATCTAAATAATTAGAAAAGTATTCATTATTAATTTATTATAAATTTTATAGAGATTTTATAATGCACTACTCATTATTAATAATTTTAAATCTTTACATTTATTTTATTTATTTATTTATTTATTTATTTATTTTTTTATTATTATTTCATTTATTATTATTTTTTTCTTTTGTTCTCATTATATATATATAATTAATTAATAATATATATTACTAATAAAATAAGAGAGCCCATTTATATATATATAAATATATAAATATATATATATATATATATATATATATATATATATATATATATATATAATAATTAATACATCATTCTAGAATATTTTATACTTATTAATATAAATTTACTCAATAAGGTATTAGGAACATTTTACATAAATTAAAATCATATACTTTAAAAATATATAAAAGAAAAAAAAAAAAGAAAAGAAAAAAAAGTTCTATATAACTAAAATATATAATTAAAACAATACGAAAATATTAATATAATTCATTTTGTATTTTCTTCTGTCTTTAACGTTATTTTGAATTTCTATATATTTTAATACTTTAAATTAAATATATGAAAATTTCCATAATTTATTTTATAAAAATTATCTTATTTTCTTTTCATTGCATTAATATTAAAAGGAAAAAAAAAAAAATCAAAACCAATACAAAAATATTTGATTCATATTTATATTTAATAGGTATTTTTATCTCACTATTTTATACTTACCTATGTAATTATATATATATATATTTATTTATTTATATTTATATATTTCATAAATCTTATGCATAAATATGCATAATTATAAAAGGCGAAAATAAAATAATAATAAATGTACTTTATATTATGTTCAAAATATAATTCATATATTTATATATTCGAAAATAGCTTCATTTCCTTTTAAATTATATAATGTAAAATATTAAACAAAATGGGGACAAATATGTTATAGAACTAAAAAAAAAAAAGTACAACATTAAAAATATATTTTTTTATATAAATATATTATGTATGTGTGTAAAAATATATTTGTGTATTCCTTTCTGTATTTCGTTTTTTATTTGGTTATATTTTATGTACTATTCAATTCTGTACTTTTTTTTACTTTTTTTTAATAATAATATAATAATAATTGTTTATTCACGCAATATATCAAAGTTTACATGCAATAAAAAAATTAATAAAAAAAAAAAAAAAAAAAAAAAAAAGAAAAAAACAAATGTTTTCGTTTTTTAAAACCAAGGTCATTATTTTAATTATCTTTTTGTATTTAAATGAAAAGGTAATATGTTCAATAAATGAAAATGAAAATATAGACGAAAATATAAAAGATAATGTTAACGAAAATATAAATGAAAATGTACGCGAAAATATAAAAGAAAATGTATCTGAAAATATAAACGAAAATATACACGAAAATATAAATGAAAATGTACGCGAAAATATAAATGAAAATGTGAACGAAAATATAAACGAAAATATAAACGAAAATATACACGAAAATATAAATGAATATGTACGCGAAAATATAAATGAAAATGTACGCGAAAATATAAACCATAATGTGAACGAAAATATAAATGATAATGTGAACGAAAATATAAACGAAAATGTGAATGAAAATACAACTGAAAATTTAAACAAACTTCTAAATGATTATAATAATATCGACCAATTAAAATCCATGATTGGAAACGATGAACTACATAAAAATTTAACAATTTTAGAAAAATTAAATTTAGAATCTTTAGAAAAAGATAAATTAAAATATCCTCTCCTTAATCAAGAAAATAAACAATTGTTAGATATATCGAATTTTACAAAAAAAAATATTACAGATACAAATGATGAATCTTATTTTATACCCACCATCCAATCAACTTTTCATGATATTGTAAAATATGAATATCTTACAAAAGAACAATTGATAAAAATTTATAATTCTGATATTTCAGATATTATTAAAAAAAAAATATTTATTGTACGAACATTGAAAACAATAAAATTAATGCTTATACCATTAAATTCGTACAAACAAAATAATGATTTAAAAACTGCACTTGAAGAATTAAATAATGTATTAATATCAAAAGATGATCAAGAAAAAGGAATCAGTCCAATAGGTAACCATGATATATTTTTTACTAATTTGTTAAATCATGTTAGAGAAATTAAAAAAAATAAAGAAATTGAAAAAAAAAGTGAAACACTTATACTGGGTGATAATAAAATAGATGTAATGGAATCAAATGATTTCTTTTTTACGACAAATTCAAATATAAATTTTATGGAAACTTTAGATGATATAACAAATCAATACGGATTAGG